GCGCGCTGCGCGCCCGCCCCCTCCGGGTCCCGGCGGCTCTGCCTCGCGGGGGGCGGGGCTGGGGTCAGGGCCGGGGCGGGGGTGGAAGGTCCCCAGCCCTGTGGCTGCGCGCCTCGCAGAGAGTCTGGCCGTGTGTTTTTGTCTCTGGCTTTGCGTCTCTCTCGGTCTCGGTCTCTCCCAGGCTCTGCTTCTCGCCAATCTTAGTCTGAGTCTCGTACTTTCTCTGCATCTCGCGCGCTCTCTCTCTCTTGTCTGTTTGTGTCTGTCACCATCTCTCCGTCTCTTGGTTGCTGTCTCTGTCTCACCCCCCTGGGAAGCATTTCCAAGAGGCCCTGGAGTCGCTAAGATGCAGGTTCGAATCCTTACTCCCACTTCCTCCCCGGGTGACCTTGACCAGGCACTGCCCTCTCCCAGGCGGCACTTCCTTTGTGGGAATGAAAAAGCGCACCCTAGAACGGTCCCTCGGCCTCCGCAGCCCCCACGTGCCCCACCAGCTGTGACTGGGGTTGGGGGGGAGGGGGCACAAAGAAACGTGCGGGGCCCTGCACCCAGCCCAGCCCACCGTGGGACAAAGGCTGGGGGCTTGGGAGCCTGTGGGCACACACACAGGAACAGGAGAGAGACAGACAGAGATTAACCAGACACAGACCAGCAGGCTGGAGACTAGGCAACCAAGGCGTGGGCCCCAGGAGGGGGTGCAGTCTGCCCCCCCGCGCACTTTCCCCTCCCACTGAGGAGGGGTTGGTGCTTGGGAAACAGGCCAGGCGGGTTGGGGGCCATGACTCAGACCCGCTGGAGCTGGCGGGGAGGGAGGGGACACAGCCAGCCCCTCCCTCGTCCCCGCTCCTGTCCCCTCCCCTTTTCTTCCTCCTCTTCGCCCCGCCCCGGGGAGGGGCTTGGCGGCGGGGGCTTTCCCGGATTTCCCTGGGGGCGGGGCCGCCGCTGGGGTTGAGTTCGGGTCACTGAGGCCCCGGAGGCTGAGGGGGAGGGTTTGCGGACCCAGGGGGGCGGGTGGGCGCTGCACCCGGGATCTGCTCAGGCAGCGTGCGGGGGGCTCTCCCTACTTCTCTTAACTCTGCCCCTCCAGCCCTGGCCTCCCTGGAGGTTCCCTCTCTAGCCCACCCAGCCCGAGTCGCTCTTTGTCTCTTGCGACCCAATGGCACCTCTTTTTGACATCCCTGCTTGCTCATGTCTCGGTGTCCCGGAAGCGTCCCTCCAGGACCTTGAGAGTGGGCGTGGGTCCCCGTGTCTGGGAAGGGACTTTGGCCAGGACGAACCTCACCCCAGTGGATTGTTAACAGGGGGTTGGAGGCGCAGCTGCTGGCAGCGAGAGGCCTCGCCCTTTGCAGGCTCTCTCCTGCCGTCCGTTTCCGTAGGCCTCCCTCCCAGCGCCCTGTGGTGGTGAAACAACTGGGCTCAAGTCGCATCTCCATCCCTGGTTCAGAGAAAATGTGAGGGGACAGCTACTCCTGGGCCTCTCGGAATTGCCTCCTAGGGGGAGAGATAACCCAGAGACAGAGAGATGGCGAGAGACACAAAGTGAGACCACCCTCCCCCTCAGCTGCTGATGTTATGTGCCCTGGAGTCGGACCAACTCATAGGACCCCTCCTTGGGTTTCCAAGGCAGTATCACTACAGAAATAGGAAGGAGTGGCTGGTGGGTTTGAACCACCAGCCTTGTGGTTAGCAGTCAAGTGCCTTAGGCACTACGCCACCAGAGCTCCTGCCTGTCTTGTTATCTCTCCGTTTTTCTTAGGGAAAATGGGACCAGTGTATCCCTACCTCCTGGTGGGGGCTACAACAAGGGACCACCCTGCCCACCATCACAGCCCACCGGGTCCTCTCCTCTGAGGGACCCTTAAACCCAGGGGAGGGCTGTGGTGTGTCCTCTGTAGAGGAAGGGAAGCTGAGGTTCAGGGGGGCAGGGCTAGTGAAGGTGGTGACCCTGGGAGGTAGGCGGGAAGGCACCCCAGTGCTACCTGCTCCCTGGTACCTGTGGCCAGTGATGCAGAGTCTGGGCCCTTGTAGGCCTGGGGAGAGGAGCGTCCACGCTTGGCCCAAAGGGGGCGTTCAGGGGCTGGCAGAGAGGGTGCTGATGGCTGAGAGTCTGATGGCCAAGGAGGGGGTGAAGGTTGAAAGGATCTGAGGGAGGAGGTGAGGGTCTGAGAGAGGGGGACTAGCCCTTGGTGACGGAGAGGGTGTGATGGAGGTGAGGGTCTGAGGGGCAGGGACAGGGTTTGAGGGAGGCGAACGGGGCTGAGGGAAAGGGTTTGAAAGAAGAAATGACGGTCTGAAGGAAGAGGTGAGGGGCTGAGGAGAAGGACTGAGGGGGAAGCACTCTGAAGGAAGAGGAGAGAAATGAGAAGAGGCGTCTGAGAGGTGAGGCGATTTGACGAGGGTCTGAGGGTGGAGGTGAGTTTGGAGGGAGAAGACCTGAGGGTCTGAGGGTGGAGGTCTTGGTGGGGGGGAGGGGCACTTTGAGGACGGCCTCCTTGAGGCAGAGGGAAGGAGAGGTGTGCCTGGGGAACTGGCAGGGACCAGGGGGAGGGAAGGAAGGGGAGACTGGGAGTCAGCCCCGCCCCACAGCTGTCTCTAATTTCCCAGAAGCTTCTGCTGCTTAGGAAAGTCCCGGCTCCCACAGCCGCCTCCCTCTGGTGTCGGGAATGGAGGATGCAGAATCCTCCTCAACTCCCTGCGCCCCCCATGCGCTGGGCTGGGGTCTCCCCTCTCTGGGCTTCGCACACTGGAGCCCCCACCTCCCAGTGGGGACAGCCCCTGGAGGAGTCCCAGAAACTTCCCAGAGAAGATTCGGAAGCCCTGCTTGGAGTCTAGCCACTTTCCGTCCGCAGGCTTCCCCTTTTCTACCTGTTTCTGTCCACTCCTCCTTCCCACGTCCCTCTTGTCCCCTAGTCCTACTCTGACCCTCCTTGGGGGAGGAAGGGCCACGATTTCACCTGTTCTCAGTCTTGAGAAAGTAATAAAGGCCTGCCTGCCAAGAAGGCTGACAAGGGGCTGTGGTGGTGCAATGGTTCGGGTATTTGGCTGCGAACCAAAAGGGCGGTGAGTCAAACCCACAAGCCACTCTGCGGGAGAAAGATGAGGCAGTCTGCTTCCATAAAGACTGACAGCCTTGGAAATCCAATGGGGATCTCTATGAGTCGGAATCGACTCAATGGCAGTGACTTTGGTTTGAGAAGGCTACGGGGCTTTCTTCTCTGGACCTGTTTCCCCTTCTGAGAGGAGACAGTAGGACTGATCAGACCCTGAATTCTCCTCTGGCTCAGTTCCCAGGCCGCATCCTGCCTTGCTTCAGACAGAACTGGGTGCAAGTCCTGTCTCCTGCTCTCACCGGGCCTGCAATTCCCAGGGAGTTACTTACTTATCCTTACGGAACCTCAGTTTCCTCATATGTAAAGTGACTAAATTGAGAAAACATGCTTCCGTCCTACGGGGTCCAATGAATACAATATAGCTGCTCTTATTCCTGTGACGAGTATCATCCTCATGTCAATTAACCCATTCTTAGCAGCAGGACCCCTTTCACTGAGGAAATGGTATTCACCATATTGGGTTTCGACACATGGATTTGAGCCCTGGTTCAGCCATGTCCTAGGAGACCTGGTAGCATAACTGTTAAGTGCTTGGCTGATAACCACGAGGTTGGCAGTTTGAACCCGCCAGCTGCTCTGTGGGAGAAGGGTGAGGGAGTCTGCTTCTGTAAAGCCTTGGAGACCATATGGAGCAGTTCTCTTCTGTCCTATAGAGGTGCTATGAGTTGGAATTGACTTGATGGCTGCGGGTTTGGTTTAGTTTTAGTTCTGCTGTGTGACCTTGGGCAAGGTGGCTCTCCCTATCTGTGCCTTCCTTCTGCCTTCAATAGCTGGTGATGCTGACAGGTCATGCAGGGTTGCTGAGCAGATTAACTGAGAATTTTGCAGAATGAATGAATGAATCGTGTCTGTTCCTGTCTCCACCCCACCTCCTTAACCCTTACCCTATTTTTCAGGCCAGAGCCTCCTTGTCACTCTCCCCCCCAGAGATAAGACAAGCTGGGCCCATTAGCCCTGGGTGGGCTGAGCTACGAATTGTTTTCACTAAATCCTCTCAACACCTTGAAGATGAATTCACACAGGTCCCTAAAACCCCCATTTGCAGAGGGGGCAACTGAGGCACGGAAAACTGAAATCACTGTCCAGGGTCACACAGCCGAGAACTGGAGAATTCGAGATTTGAAGCCAGGCCTGTGTGATCCTTGCACCAGAGTTCCAACCCTTCAGCCTGGGAGGGGTGGTCATTAGTCCCAGAGACCACAGGCTATCATCTCTCCTGGCCCTAATTCTAAATGAAAGGTTGGGGGTTTGAGTCACCCAGAGATGCCTCAGAAGAGGGGCCTGAGTAGGGATCTATTTTGAAAGTCAGCCACTGAAAATCTTATAGAAAGTAAAACAATAGTTTGTCACAGAATGAATGCAGACGCCAATTGGAGAATCCACCTGTCTTCTGTTGAGCCACACTGTAAAAAGATATGCACACGTTTAAACCAATACCTCTCTTGTGAATCTTTTATTTTGCTTTTAGTTTTGGAAAAAAATTACTCTTCAAGAAAAACGTTATTATTAAGTGAAATAATAAATATATTTTTTAAATGCCCCCCCAAAAAAGAAAACCTTAATGGAGCACAGTTCTAGGCTGGCACATTGAGGTCGCCGCGAGTTGGAACTGACTCAGCAGTAATTGTTTTGTGGCTCAGTGGGAACAGTGCAAGTGGGGAAACTGAGGCACAGAGGTCAAGTCAAGCGCTCATGGGCACCTGCACGGATTAGAACGGTCTGCATTCTTCCTGTAGCTTTGCTCTGCTGCCTGCAGTGAGCAGGTGGACAGAGGGTCCCATTGCAGCAGGAAGGAGTAGAGTTAGACTTCAGGGCGATGGTGGAGGTGGTGGGGGGCGGAGCTCAGGGAGGGCAGGTGAACTCTGCAGACAGAGGACAACGGAGGCTCTTGAGCCCGGATGGGGAAGCAGTTGCCCAAGGTACACAGCCTTCTGACTGGGCTCTGGCTGGAAGTCTACCCTAGGACTGCCCACCTCTCAGCTCCCAGAAACTGCCCTCCCACATCCCCAGGGGTGAATGCAGGCCAGCTTCCTGGGACCCTGGCCCACATGTACCTCCTGGTTCCTTCCCACCCTGGGGCCTTGGCGGTTGCCAGATCTCCAGGCATCGAGTGGGCCCAGCCCATCTGGGAGCTAGGCCAAGACTTAATCTTCCCCTTTCTTCATTCTGCTGGGTCTGCACGCACGACGCTGAGTCAGAAGATTGCAACAGTCTCTCTTCCCTCCCCTGCCCTTCCCCCATCATGAGACAGGGGTGACTCAAGGGAAGGGGGACCAGCATCTGCCCCCAGGGGTACCTGGGAAAGTCTGGTATGGGGCAGAGGAGTCCCAGGAAGGTGACAATAGTGAGGCAGCACAGGGCTTCAGTGTCCTCATCTACAATCAGACAGGGGTAGCATAGTGGCTAAGGCACTTGACTGCGAACCAGAAGGCTGGCGGTTCAAACCCACCAGCCATTCCTCGGAAGGAAGGTTGGGCAATCTACATCCATAGTGATGCTGCCTCGGAAACCCAAGGAGGGGTCGCTATGAGTTGGAGCCGACTCGATGGCACATAACAACAACCTATCTCATCGTCTGAGTTCAAATCCCTGCTCTGCCACTTGCCAGCTGTGTGCCTTGGACAAATGACCTACCCTCTCTGAACCTTAGTTTTCTAATGTAATAAAAGTTTTCTAATCTATAAAAGGAAGGCAAAACCCATGCCTTCCTTGTGGGGTTGTTGCGAAGGTCAAATGAATTAGTACATGTTGGCGCAGGCAGGCTTGGCACCAAGTAAGCTCTAAGTAAATGGAAGATGCTCTTTTTAAACGATTGTTATTATTAACGTGGTGTATGGGAGTGGCAGCCACGGAGCTGCGCGCTCAGATCCCCTTTCAAGAGAGGACTTGTGGCCCAGCTGCCACAAGCCCACGTGGGTTGCCAGTGAAGGGCACGGCACGGTCAACCTCCAGCCAGTGACTGAACCCAGTAGGAGCCTGAGGGTCTGCACTTCTCTGCCCCATGTTGACTCCTCTAAGGGGCTGTCTTTGCTCTGGGGCTCCCCGCTGGGCTGGCATCGCAGTCTGAGGGCCCCACCTGTTTCTTCCCCTTTCCTGTTTCAGGTGTTCCTCCCATAAGACTTCTGCATTCCTAACTCCACCTCGGCGTCTCTTGCTGAGGACCTAACCTGTGGCAATAAGCTTTGGAGTCAGACGGGCTGATCGAGAGTATCTGGCTCTGCCACGTGCTCCCAGCTGTCTTTGGAGGAGGAGCCGAGCTTGCTGGGCCTCAGTTTCCCCCTTTGAGTCATGAGTATAATGACACAGTGGCTGGGAGCACCCAGTGAGTCAGCCAGAAAGCTCTCGGTCCAGCTACCTGGCACAGAGTGAGGGCTCCACGTAGCTGCCTCATCGCGGCCCACGGGGAACCAGGGCCAGTCCGTTTCCCCGTTCGCTCTGCTCTGTCTGGTCCAGCTGCCTTGAATGCCTTGCCCTCTGAGCCTTGTCTGGGAGATGGGGACAGGTTAGGGCACTGGTGAGGTCAGGGATGGAAAGCCCCTGGGGTGGAGCCTGGCACACCAGGGCACAATCAGGTGGGGTCAGGACAGAGGCTGGGGCTGGGTCAAGGTTGGTAGGTAAGCATGCCTGCAGGGTGTGTCTGGCCGCCAGTGAGGCCCTAGTCTTGGGCTGACAGAAAAAGGGAAGTCCCAGGGTTGGGAAACCGTGGAGTCCTGTCACAGAAGTTCCCTGATTCTAGGATTCACCATGGAAAGAGGGGAGGGGAAGCCCCCTGCCCTGTTCATTCAGCCAACAAGAGAGAAGGGACGGTGAGAAAGAGAGAAGGCTTCAGGGTGTTGGTGGAGGGGAGGGCCATTGGACCGGGAGGTCCCTGAGGTGGGGCCGTGCTCCCCATTCACGCAGGCACTCCTGGGCTGTGTGCAGGACATCCTTCCCCCTCCATTAGCTTAGGATCCCTGACAATGACTACACGGCTTCTACCTGAATTAGCTATCTCTAA